CCTTCCTAACCTCGAACCCCCCTACAGGCTCATGATCACACATCCATATAAATTATTGTATATTTATAAGAGATCATCACTGTATATTTTTATATGTGTAATTAAGGGTATCTCCAATGGTTCACCATTTTTTTCATCAAATCTGAGTAAAAAAAAAAATGACGAGTTCCTCAATCTAATATGAACCACTCCAACAGTTTACTGTAACTTTCCTCAAATCTAAGTGGATGTCCAGGGGGATAATCGACTGGCCAATCGGAAAGTGAAAATGAATTTTCTAAATTTAATCCATATGTGCATATTGCTCAACCAAAACCAAGTTCTTGAACCATGAAAAACCCAACTAGTTCAATCATTTTCTTGTTTCTCTCTCTGTGTGTGTGTATATGTGTGTCCTCTTTTTTGTATATCAGTCTCTCTAGTGTTGGGTCTACCTTTTTCTTGAGCTTTTGATACACCATCTCTATGTCTCTCTACTTTTGCTACAGAGAGGACATATGGATTGGTTTCCTTGGTGTAGACAATTGAACCACACAACTAAGAAGAAAAGAAAGAAGAATTTGGGGAAGGGGTTTTGTAGTAGAATTCATAGTCCTTTTTCCAATCAAATTACACAAACATCTAGCTCTAGGTGCCTGTGTACATTGTAAATGAAAGGAAAAATTAAAAATAAAGATAAAAATAAAAATAAATAAGAAAAAACCATCATTGCTCTGTCTTGTGCAAATACTTGGCCAAGTCTTTCGAACTGTTCATCTTTCTCAACATATAACAGTTGTAGGTGGCTTCAAATGGTGTTTTTTTTTATTTTTTTTTAATTATTTGTCATCACTATTCTTGGCTTCAAATGGAGCTTCTGTATACAGATTATTATGAGTTTGATCTTATTGTTAATAATCTTGATAGGATCAAAGTCTGATAGTGGTGGTGGTGTTAGGAAGGCTGGTGTTTTCGATTATTGTATCAGTACATGTGGGTAGGGTTTATCTTCTGTTTTCGCTCTCTTGTTTTGCTTGGGTTGGTTTCTCATCAACCTGTAGTTTGCCTGCATATGATTGTGCTACATTTATGGTGTCAACCTAGTTGGGATTTCTTATTGTAGCTATGATGCTTGTAGCCTTCCCCTTTCTTTATTGCTGATTGTATGAGTTGTCTCTTCTTTTCATCAATAAAGCTTATCTTTGCCCATCAAATTTTATTTATTTTTTTTTATAGCCCATCAGTTTCAATTCAAGATTGCAGGAACCTCTTTATTATGGTTAAAGAGGTGGTCAACTGGAGGGTCGATCTCTGTGTGTAAAATTTTCACAAAATTTTGCTTAAGGTGGTCATCCGGTCGGATGTCCGGTGGGTCCACACTCAACGGCTATACATAATAAATTGCTGAAAGGTGCAAGACGTCTTCAGTTTGGTTAAAATTTTGGGCGGTTCTCAATTTGATATCATTTTGATAAAACCGTTAAGTTAAAAAATGTGTACTTTTTCACCAAATTCAAATTTGGTTATACATCAGATAAACCGTTGGTGATGGCCTAATAGGCCAATCTTTAAAAATGCAAATGTTGATTATTTATTTTATAGCGTGGGACTCTTTTGTGTGTGTGTGTGTGTGCGCGTGTGTGTAATATATTTCTTTCTCATTTGGGGAGTGAGGTTTAAAGTCAAAAAATTTAAAAATTATTATAAGTTATCATAATACTCTCTTTATTTTTTGCACATTTTTTTCATAAAATTAAAAAATTAATTAAAACAGTCAATTTCTAAATAGGGCCTAATATTATTTTATTATGGGGAGTCTTGTTTTGTTCACACATCTTATTTAAGTGGTGTCTTTTGTGTATCATCCATGAACAAAATTAGTTCGATCTGATATTCGTAATATTTTCATTTGATTGTTTATGTCTTTGAAAAAACGGACGACAAATATATTTGTTAAAATAGACTATTCATTGTGCAAATTTGTTTAAAATAGGGGAATTTGTGATACTAATTGCGACTTATGATTATGAAAATTACACCTCTCTTCAAATTTGTAATCGCATAACAAATTATCCTTTCATTAATTAACCAATATGTCAATTAATAGTTTTTAATAAATTTTGATAAAGAAATATTTGTAATTTCCGAAACCATTGAAGGTAATTCACATTTTAAACAAGGGGAATTTGTTTTGAGATCTCTGATATTAAGATTTTATAAGATAAATGACATACAATATTTTCATAGTAGTTAAGGTCCCTCAACATTTTCACAGAGAAAATTCGACTCAGAGAAATTTCGTCTGACTTAGAGAAATTTTGCCTGACTCAGAGAAATTTTGGCCCCAACTCAGAGAAATTTCTCTTTTCTGTATGAAAATTGAAATTTCTCTGAATCGGACAAAATTTCTCTGACTCAAATAAAATTTTTCTAAATCAATTTTTTTCTGTAAAAATGTTAAGGGACCTTACCTGATAAAAAAAAAATTAGACCTCTCCTACTACACAAAATTAGAGAGATATTTTACTAATTTTTCCTTTGAACAAATATCAGATAATATATTTATAATTTACCCTTTTATCCACAGGAGAATAAAAATAGTAAGTTAAATGACACGAGATAGTCCACCAACAAACAATTTGTTTACTACAACTTTGATAAAGAGTTCTAGTAGAGCTGCTCTAATAGCAGCTCTACTGAGCTGGCACACCAAACAAACAAAAAAACACACACACACACACACATACACACAAAACACAAGAAGAAAAAAGATAAATTAATGCTATTTTAGAGCACTTCTTTTAGAGCTCTAAAATATTTTTCTTGTTTACTATATACTGAAGACCAAACTTCATAAAAAATTTTTGAAAGCAAACAAAATTACAGTAGGCCCAACTAAGATAAATTTGCAATATTCTCAATATAAAAGGATAAAAATGTAATTTAAGACAAAGCTAACATAATACAGATAAATTTGCAATATTCTCAATATAAAAAGGACAAAAATGTAATTTAACACAAAGCTAACATACAATCATTTGTTGAGGACAATTTAGGTAAAATAAAAAATGCACAATTTCACTATTTCAAAATGGAAGAGATTTTTGTGAAAAATTCTATAAATCTCAAATTTTCTAACAAATAAATGATAAAATATTCTCACTCATATGAGATATTTGATCATTTATTTGTTAGAAAATTTAATATTCCTAATATTATTCAATTTCTATAATTGTAGTATATATATACACACATGGATTTCACACATTCACACTCTCTAAGGAATGTGTTTAGAAGTATAAATGAATGTAATTGTGAAATCACTCGTGTTTTTTTAACTTTATTTTTTCTTTACCAGCTAAATACTACTTGAAATAATAAATTACGTAATTTAAAAGCAAAAATGAGTGGAACTTACAAGCGCCACTCCGTCCGCCATTGGCCATGTTTGGTACAGTTTATAAGCAGCTTAAATCAGCTTTTACCGTAAAATAAGTCATTTTGGAGAGTTTGGTTGAGCTTATGAGAGATAGATTGTAACTTAAATTAATTGATTTTGAGCTAAAAGTTGTAAGCTGCCTCAGAGGTGCTTTTTTTTTTGAGCTTATGCGCGCAGCTAGTTATAGAAGGACGAAATGACTTAAATGCCCCTTCAAAAATACAGAAATTACCAAAATACCACTATATAAACTTGACATTCAAACACAGTTCACGTCCAGAGAGAGAAAGAGAGCGTAAGAGGCAATTTCTAGGGACTATTTTCGACTAAGATTTCAAGCTGTTCTCTCTCTATCTCTCTGCCTCTCTCTCTCTCCGGCATTGGTTCGTCGCTATCGCGATCTGTCTCTGAACCATCGTGATCTGTCTCTCTCTCTCTGTCTCTGAACCATCGCAATCTGTCTCTCTCTCACCATCGCTCTCTCTCTCTTTGTGCCTCCGTCGTCGTCCCCCATCCCCTTTCGCGATCAGCCGTGCGAGGCGATCTCAAACCCTAGCGCCGGTTCATCGCAGCTGTACCTGCCGGAGCTAGGGTTTCAGGTTGTGTGTGTGTGTGTGTGTGTGTAAAATGAAAATAAGCCATTAATTGACACTGATTAATTTATAATGAAAAACTGAAATAATTTTATACCAATTGATTTATAATGAAAAATTAGAAATAATAATTTATAATGAAAAAATGAAAATAAGCCATTAATTGACACTGATTAATTTATAATGAAAAACTGAAATAATTTTATACCAATTGATTTATAATGAAAAATTAGAAATAATAATTTATAATGAAAAAATGAAAATAAGCCATTAATTGACACTAATTAATTTATAATGAAAAAATGAAATAATTTTATACTAATTGATTTATAATGAAAAAACGGAAATAATAATCTATATGAAAAAAATGAAAATAAGTCATTAATTAAAACTAATTAATTTATAATGAAAAAATGAAATAATTTTATACTAATTGATTTATAATGAAAAAATAGAAATAATAATATATATGAAAAGATGAAAATAAGCCATTAATTGACACTAATTAATTTACAATAAAAAAATGAAATACTTTTATACTAATTGATTTATAATGTAAAATTGAAAATAATAATTTATAATGAAAAAATAAAAATAGGTCATTAATTGACACTAATTAATTTATAATAAAAAATTAAAATAATTTGATACTAATTGATTTATAATGAAAAAATGAAAATAATAATTTATGTAATACTAATTATATTAACTTTTATTAAAGAAATAATTTTTTTTTTAAATTAAAATTGAAAAAAATGACAGAATAATCATTTTTATATTATATAAGGGTAAAAAAGATAATTACACATTAAAAAGTTATTTTATAACTAATCGTTTAAATTCATAATCTCACAATTATATCAAACAGATTAACAACTTATATTTACAATTATAAATTATAACCTATTAAAATATAATTTGTAATTACTTCTCTACGGCTCTACTAAACAGACCATTGACAAAGACAACAGCAACAGCAACACACCTCCACTCTCAAGAAAATTTATTGGTTGGTTTAAAGTGCAGCATTATCATATTACACATCAATTACACTTTATCATATTTTTTTATATGAATAATGTTAGATATTCTAAATAATTTACAAAATATTTTATCAAATTTTGTGAAAGTTACACACATGTAAATTTGTGTGTAACGTTACACATGTAAAAAATTTAATAAAATATTTAATAAATTATTTAAAATTTATAACATTACTCTTTTTATATTTTTTTAATCATTCTACACAGTACACTCCGTGACGATTTTCAATACCAACAAACAACTTTTCCGTTACAAACATTGTGAAATTAATTACCTTTACTTTATTGTGAAATTGACAAATGCTCTGCCGCGTGGCAATCAAACATTGAGTAACATATCCTCCATCAGCTTTCCGATCATGTTGAATGAAGATCCACCCTCCACCAACGCCTTCTTGCTCTTCTCTCCAATCTCTTTCACCTTTTCTCTCACATCACTGTCACTTACCATCACACAACTCACCGCTCTTTCTATCTCATCGGCCATCACAAGGTCACCAACGTCACCGCCAAATCCACCGCCGCGATAGTCCAACCTCATCTCCACTGCCACTCCCAACTCCCTCACCATCGTGAACGCGTTGAGCTGTTGTTCAGAGTACATTGGCCACGTCACCAAAGGCACACCGTTCCACAAGCTCTCCATGATCGAGTTCCATCCGCAGTGCGATACGAACCCTCCGATCGCTTTGTGGGCCAGTACCTCCGCCTGTGGGGCCCACCCACACACCATCCCCTTCCCTCTGGTCCGTTCGATGAACCCATCTGGCAACATTTCCTCCGGATTCTCAGCTTTTCCTTGTGTTGTTGTCGTTGGTGGTACACGAATGGACCACAAGAACCCATGCGCACTGCGCTCCAGCGCTTGAGCTATCTCTCTGAGTTGGGGTGCACCGAATATCCCCATGCTGCCGAAGCACAGGAACACCACCGACAATGGATCTTGATCATCCAGCCATTTCATTATGTTGTTGTTCTTACTGTGGGACCATGGGGAACCTAGCTTGTTCTGGGCCTCACCCTTCGCATCAATCAGCGGTCCGACGGTGTAGATTGGAGGGGTTTGATCGTCGCAAAATGAGCTAATAGCATGGGATTCCAACTCCAGTAATGTATTTACTATTATGCCCTTGGTGTCCCTAAGCCTTTTTCCAAGCTTGAGAAGAGCAGCGTAACCACCGTCCTTGTTGAACACTGCGGAGGGCAAAACTCGTGGAGGAACTGGGTTGATAAAACCCGGAATCAAAAACTCAGGATCCGATTCGCTGAACTCGGTGCTGACCCTGTCATGGCGAGTTGGGATGTATAGCCCGAGGCCAAGACACGCAGCACCGGAGGTCAAGAATAGATAAGAAGGAAGACCGAATTCGTTGCCAACGTCAATCATGGAAAGGCAAAGGAAGTCGAGGACTAACCCAACGAGTCGGGGCGAGTTAGGGTGAGAGTGAGTCGACCCGATGAGGTTACCGAGGACGTCTTTGATGTGGGGTTTGAAACTTTCTATGTAAAGAGTGAGATAGTTTTCATGGGAATTGGAGAGTTCGAGTGAGTTGGGTGGATGGAGTTGAGGGAGGTCAATGAGTTGGATGAGTGGGTAGGAGGCGGAGAATGAGTTGGTGTAGGAGTCAATGCTTGGGTGGCTGGAGGGTGGTTTGATGACAAGGATGGTGATGGAGAATCGATCATCTCGATCGATAAGGCGCTTCGCGAACTCTACAATTGAGACAAGGTGACCGATCCCTGGACATGGGATGAACACAAGCCCTGCTTTCTTCATCTCAGATGTAGATTTCTTTTGACTTTGTGTCTCCCTTGCTCCCTTCCTTCCTTCCTTCAATGCTCTTTGGCTCATGATGATCACACATCCATATACATTATCGTTATATAAATAAATAAATAAATAATTGTTTTTCCTTTTGGATAAGTAATATATAATTCTGATGAGCAATGCTACAGACCACTAATTTATCATCACTAATATCAAAAAAAAAAAAAAAGGCACAAAACACATGTGGCAGTGGGTGGGACCCACTACCACATCATTAGAGCTACCACTAATTAGTGGTCTAAAGCATTTTTGAATTCTGATATCTAGTGGTTGTTTGATTTTAGCCGTTGATCTTATATAAAAGTGTTAGGCTCTGTTTGGTTTAGATTTCAAAGTATAATTTCATCACTGATTTGAGTATGGTATTTGATTGCAGTTTTTAAATTATAATTTTACACCAGTTTCTCAAAACTCATTTTAAACCATAATCATTACTTTTCAAAACTCATAACCAAACACACAACTCAAAGCTCTTTTCAAAACTCAAAAACAATTAATTTTTATTCTAAATATTTTTTATTTTTTTATTTTATTTTATAGGAAACTTTTTAATGTTTTAATTTTCATAAAAATATTTTAATATTTTAATTTTAATACTTTGATATTTTAATTGCAAATATTTTGATTTTCGGAATATTTTTAATATTTTGATTTTCGGATGTTTTTAATATTTTAATTTTCTAAATATTTTTAATATTTTAATTTTCTAAATAATTTTAAAATATTTTTAATGTTTATACAGGCCTAAAAAATTAATTGACATAAAATAATTGACATAGAAGTTATTTGAAAAAAAGATTATTCAAAAAAATTACTTTAAAACAATTAATTAAAAAAAAATATTTTTTTATTTGAGTATTTTAAAAATAGTTTAGTTATGACTGTTGATCAAAAATACGAATATCGAGTTATGAGTTGTGTTTTGATTATCAATTATAGGTTGAATTAAGTTTTGAAAATTATTTTAAAAACTCATCTAGAAACAAATTTTCTTATTTCACATGTCACATTAAACTTTCAAAACTCAATTCCACATACAATTCAAAACTCAATTCAACACTCTATTTAAAAACAATAATCAAACAAATTTTCTACACCCAAATCATAATTCCACAACTTACAAACTCAAAATACAACTTATACTATCAAATCATATTTACAAAACTTTATCAAACGTAACCTTAATTTTTTCTGAAATTTTTTACCCTTTTTCTCTTAAAAATTTTAACAATACACGATCCTCTCTCTTACAAAAAAAGGATGTGGATTCTTCTCATTTAAATAGAATGGTATTATTTGAGTGTGTAAGGCTTACCATGAGTTCCGTTTCTATAATTCGAATTGTTTATCTTGTCAATAGATTGGCCGCCTGAGCACCATTTCTATAATTTGCCTTGTTTATCTTGTCAAAGGACTAGTTGCCAGCAGGCACTATAAGAAATTTTATTTTTGACGACTAAATTTTTTTTTTTTTTTAGAACAAACATAGCATAGAAGTTCCATTAATCTGCCAAACATTGTCTTACAGCAGTTGTAAGGTAATGAGCAGCTTGGACAACATCCCTCTCTACCTTTTCTAATACAACATAATCAAAATGTTTACTATAGTACAAAATATCAGTTAAAATAGATTGAAGATGCCAATCGTTGTCTTGATCATGATTTTGTAGTAGCAGTACTAAGACTAGGCAATCTGATTGTAGAAGAAGACTCTTGATGCCCCGCTTGTATGCCCAATTTTGTAGTAGCAGTACTAAGACTAGGCAATCTGATTGTAGAAGAAGACTCTTGATGCCCAACGCAGGGCCTGGAACACTGTAGCAGCTTCCGTTTGCTGTGGGGAAAGCATTGGTGGCGCTAAAATAGCTTCCTCATTGACCAGCTGATTACCTTCATCAAAACATACCCAGGCCAAACCAGTCCGTTCGTCGACCGAGAGCCGAGACCCGTCTACGACGATGTGCTTTCGTTGAAAATCTGCAGTGGTTGATGAAAGTTTGCGGAAAAATAATTTATTTTAAAAAATACTTTTTTAAAGAAACACCACTTGATTACACAATCTAAAATACCTTCTCCAAGTGAGTTGTTGATAATACCTCACCAAGCGATCCAAGTGTCTCGCCTCAAAAGTGATTCACCTTGCACCCTCTTTGATTTATTTTTTTTGTGTATATATTTTCTACAGACCTTAAAAATTCTGATGGCCATTTTTTTTTGTATCAAATACATCTGATATATATACACAACACATGATAGAGTTTGCATGTAGGTGGGATCCTTAGGGATCTCTATCTTTTAGTTGTAGGGATAAAATAAAAGATGTATCTTTTATTTTAAATATACAGGATACAACCTATCCAATTTTTCATTAATTATCTTTTAAACAGATAATATAGAACTTCCACTAATTGCAATAATGTCCATCAACACATTACAATTAAACCCCTAAAAGTAGAGAATTACAAGTGAGGCCCTTTCTTACAATTAATCACAAATTTCCTTCCACCAAACTATATTCCACATGAGCTATTAGGTATGGACAAATTTATCACTATCAAAAGCCCTAACTCATGTAACCGAATTCTAAATTTTTCCTTCTTCTAATTGGACCCTAAAAGCATTTTCCAAAAATAGTATTTTTACAATTATATATGTATAAAATATTTTTACGAAACAGTAACCGGCCGGTTTTCTTTTGGTCCAATGTTAATAGGAAAAATTGTTTGAATATACTTTCTCACTTGAGAATGGTGGATTCCATGTTAAGCACCTATATAAATTAATTACCACTCACATAACCCAACATGTCCGTGTATAGCCTTTGATTCAGCGTCACCGATTGACAATGTCAAAGTTAAATGAATAGATAATTAATTTATACAAGCCTCTCAGGTCAAAGAAAAATAAGTGTATTGTAATAGAACTACCTTTTAAACTGATACTGATCATTCCATAGGTGTTCTTAAAACCGATCATGTTCAGTGCATGTACTTATTGCATAACACCCACCTATTTGCTTAAGGTCACTACCTCAATGATGGAGTTAATCATTCTATCATATAGCAGCAAAACAGGTGTAGGCCATAGTAGTGCGATGCCCAATCAGACACCCATAGCCTAGAACATTAATTGGGTCTACAAGGCACCGAAAAATCAAAACTCCCAGCTTTTGGTTCATTAACCATTAGCATGTTTTTCTACAATGTTACCCAAGGGACCTTATGTTCACATCATATGTGACATTAAATATAACATTACCCATAATAACATATAAAATGCAAAATATAAAATGCCAAGCAATTTATATAATCAATTAATAAAGTCAATAAATTGGTTTTTGAAGGCACAAATGCTAACATTCTCCCACTTGCACTCAAAACCAATTACACATGTATTTAATACCATTCTGTTTTAAATAATTTCAAAAATTATATAAAAGGTATTCTCCCCACGATTTGATCGAAGACCTTTGATACTTTTTCCAAGTTGCTACGAAATTCCTTGAACTTTTCAAAGGATTCAGACTTATGTTTCATTAGGTACAAATAATCATACCTAGAATAATCATCGGTGAATGTAATGAAATGGTAAAAACCACCTCTTGCTATGTGATTTATTGGACCACAAACATTTGTGTGTATTAATTCCAAAACTTCTGTGGCTCTAATTCCTTTTCCCATAAATGGAATTTTAGACATTTTTCCTTGCAAGCAGGGCTCACAAATTGGATAGGGCTCAATTTTCAAAAAAAAAAAAAAAATCTAAAGGTTCATCATTGACCAATCTATTTAGACGTTCTAAATTGATATGGCCGAGTTTCAAGTGCCACGTGTAAGTTTGATTAACATCTCTTTTTCTTTTAAGGGGTAACATACCAGTGGATGTATCATTCTCAACACAATAAATGGAGTTATCAATAGAACTAATAAAGTAAAGACCTTCTATTAAAATGCCAAAAGCCACAAATTTATTATTGTGCTTAATAACAACTTTTTGAAGAAAAGGAAAAACAATATCCCAACGAAAATAACTTTGAAACAGAAATTAAATTTCTACGAATGTCTGGCATAAATAGACAATCTTCTAAAACTAGAGTTCTATTAAATGATAATTCCAAATAAAAAAAAAAATCCTATGGAAACTACAGCAACTGTTGCACTTGTTCCCAACTTTATTAGCATCTCCCCTTCATTAAGCCTTCTGGTCTCCTTGAACCCCTGCAACATATTGCAAATATGTGAGGTCGCACCAGAGTCTACACACCAAGCTTTAGGAGGACCAATCAATAAATTGGTTTCAATAACAAACAGATTCAACATACCTTCTGAAGGTTTGTCCTTTTTTAGTGTTGCCACTGACAGCAGTTTCTCTTCCAATGGCCAAGCTTTCCACAATGGAAACAATTTCCTTTGCTTTTCTTCTTATCTATGCCCTTTTTAAAAACACCTAGTGTTTTTTCAGAGAACTTGGAGTCCATTGGTTTCTTATTAAAATTGTTCTTGCCCTTAGGCTTGAATTTTCTAGGACTTTCCTTTTCACCCATCATTACAGTGGGTTGGCTCTTTTTAATAAGATCTTCTGCTACTTGCAACATATTGAGCAGCTCTGATGGTGCAACAATCAACTTATTCATATTGTAATTCAAAATAAACTGATTATAAGAATCTGGTAAAGATGAAAGTATCGCATCAATTTTAGTTTCACCATCAATATATGCACCCAAAGTTTCCAGAATGTTAATGAAAGATATCATTTTTAGAACATGTTCCTGTACTGGAGTACCTTCCACCATTTTAGTGGACATCAAACCTTTCATGGCTGTTTGGCGTGCACTTCTGCTTTGTTCTCCAAACATTTCTTTCAAGTTAACCATCATGTCTTTTGTAGTAGGAACACCCTCATGCTGCTTTTGCAACACATTGGTCATTGAGGCCAATATGCAGCATTTTGCAACATCATCTGCCTCATGCCACTTCCTAACAGCCTCACGTTGTTCATCAGTGGCATCCGCCTC